GGGGGGTGAAATTGTCGCTAAGTATAATATAAGGTCTGATCGCCTTCAAAAAGAAGTATGTTGCTTGTATTCTTTTCTGGTTTTGCTTCTGTTGTTATTTCGATCATGTTATATTATAGAAAGTGAATGGGGTCGACACATCTTTGTCTTACTCCTGATTTTACTTGGAAGAAACCGTTGTGTTTTTCCATGTGGTGGACTTACTATAATTGCTTTGCTGTTTTCATGTTATACCTGATTGTCTATATTTTATTAAATTAGTATGAGCCCTACGGCTTTGTTGGTCTTATGGAATAGCCAGAGAAGGAGATGGCATTCGCAACAGGAAAATAAATAATATTAGGCCTCCGTTGTACAAAGTACACAATAAAAATTAAATAATGAAAACTACCATTGCGAACATTATTAAATCCGTTCAAATAAATACAACACTAGATTACCACCATCAGTGAAGAGTGCCTTCCCCTGAATCAAAAAGGAACCAATGAAAAGATATTTAACAGTTTATAGGAGCCAATGAGTGTCTGGTTGACTTCTAAAACAGGAAATTCAAAATAAAATTATGTCTTCGGTGTTGTTTACATGTTGAGGAACTTGGATACACAACCTGCAACTTTGTGGAGTACGAAATTTATCTGTTTCAACCATGGATTCATCGGTGAGGGTGTAGTGATTGAATAAACATGCTTAACATATAGATCTATTGACCTCATCTTTAGCATCCGTGACTGTAGCATAAATCTAGAATGTGTAAACGGTCTTGAAGGGGCTTGTTGGGGGACAACGACAACGACGTCAACGTTGTTCCATCCTCCGTCCATTTGAGTTTGAAGCTCTGAGCCTCTGTAGCGGGGTAGATGGTCAGGCCTACTAGAATGGTGTGCGTGTAAAGGGGACTTCCGTGTTAAGTCTCACCACTGCTTGTGAAAGTCCTTAAAGTTGAATGGCACTCCCGCACGAAAACTAGATCTAGATCTAGCTCTAGAACTAATTTAGATCTAGATATAGATCTAATCTAGATCTAGAAATCTAGATCTAGATCTAGATCTAGATCTAGAATCTAGATGAAAGTGGCTATTCTCACCCGCCCGGAAGTTCTCGCAAGATCAACTCCTCCCCTCTTCTTTCTCTCTCT